CTGGACCAGACCTGCCCAAGTCTGCCCTACGGTAGGACCCAAAAGTCATGTTCCATTGGTGCTTTCATCATGGCAACTGGGAAAACCTTGAACAGACCAGGCTCCCAAAGCCCAACCTCAACCTACACAAACAAAAACACATCTGAAAATGGAAACATGCGGATTAATGCATGGAAACAAAGGGCTTAGAAAAAAAGACTAGTAGAGATTGGAGGTGGACTTCACATAATAGGGAATAAAAAAATATTAATGACACAAAAAGGTGACTTCAAAAACTGCAATTGATATACCTTTAGCTATGATACTTTTAAAAGAAGGCTGATTCAAACTGTTAATTTCTCACATGAACTGAGAGCTCGATGTGGTGGTGCATCCTTGAATCCCACCACAGGGAAGGTTGAGGTAGGAGCATCACCATCACAAGATTAAAGCCTCGTGTGACTACAGACAAAATTGACAAAAAACTTGGGCAACTTAATCAGACTCTGCCCAAATTAACTTTTCGTTTAATCTCAGTGGACAGATGTTTGCCAAGCACTGATGTGCTCCAGAACAGTACCCAATATTCTCTAGACCCAGAATGAAAATAGAACAAGTACAACCAATATACGCAGACAGGTGTCAGAAGAGAGGGTTATAACAGGAACCAGCTTGTTGGGTCAGTGAATAAAGGCACAAGCAACCAAGTCCGAGGGCCTGAGGTCAATACCCAAGAGAGAACCCACATCTCGAACTTGCCCTTTGACCTTCATACACGTGCTCCGGCATGTGTGTTCACACATGTCTCAGTGGCCCAAAAAATGCACCAAAACTAAAACATCCAGCAAAACAACTAGCTACGTTGTAGGTCAACAACTAACCAAAACAGAGCTGCAGAACACCGCCAGGATGTCAACAGGGATCAAAACCTTCACAGTTCACTTCCTGCCAAGTCATCAAGTTATCACTGCAGAGTTCCCTCAGGGTGAAATGGGAACACATAGTTTTTCACAGCAATACTTATCTCCTAGATGTTTTACTTTGCATTAAACTACTACCTCTACTCCAAATTGGCAAAGAAAAGTAATAGAAAGATGGAAAGCAAAGAAATTCATAAGGAAGATAGAATGCAGCATCTGTCAAGTCAGTCCTTAGCAGGATGCACCAAGGTCTTCTCTGTGTCTCAGGCCTGCTCAGGCAATGCTTACACAGTATCCAGACTAAAGACTGAGTCTGCTCTATGGCCATCAGCTCATTATAGAGCTCCTCTCTGTTGGTCACAGTCTATTGTGAACGCTTCTCACCTCTGAGAATATGTGATCTTAAGGGTGGGCTATTCAACACACATCTGGGAAGTGACTCCCCATGAGGCTAAAGTGCTAGACTATGTATGAGTCTTCCTCACTCCTGTCCTGTGCCTGTGACATTGACATATGCCACCGGGGTCTCCAGAGACATGGAGAGAGGCAAGAGCCGCACTTGGCCACCCTCCTGCTGTGGTAATGTGTAGATGTGGGAGAGGCGGATACTCGCATGCTTTCCATCTGACAGACCCCACTCTGCAGTCCCGAGATCCACCACCAAGCATCATCACCCGCTGTGCCTGTACTGTCACCACCCAGGACAGACCACCTATTGTGAGGGCTATGTAGGTAATCCACTCTGGGACATCTCTTACCTGGCAGGGAAGTGATACCTTGCTACTTTCCCCAGCCTGATAGATGGTTTCTTTGACATCTGGGAACAGAAAGTAGTGTGTGGTAGAATGAAGTGTTTATTTAAATTTTATTATACATGTCTACATGTATGTTTGTCCTCCACATCTGTGAAGTGTCCTCAGAGATGAGAAGAGGCTTGGTTGATCTGATGGGACTGGAACTGCAGACAGTTGATGTTCACCATGTGGGGGCTGGGAATTGAACCCAATCATTTGGAAGAACAATCAGCGCTCTTTACCCGTGGAGCCCTCTCTCCAGCCCAGGTAGAATTAAGTTTTCAAAACGGCCTGCAATGAAAGGTTTTTACCTAATTTTGACTCCTAAGTTGCTCCTGGAAATAAAAATTTAGTATTACTTATCTGAACAAAGGGCTGGAGAGACGGTTCATCGTGCTAAGAACCACTGGCTGCTCTTCTAGAGGAGCAGATTTCAATTCATTAAATCCACACGCCAGCTCAAAACCATCTGTACTGCAGTCCCAGAGACTGTCACATCCTTTTCTAGGTTCTTCACAGCACTGAACGCATGTGGTCACATGCTTCACACACCTGCAAACACCTTTGTGCACTAAGATACCTCCTTGGCCTAGCCTTTCCAATTACAAGCAACCTTTATTCTTTGTTGTGTGGCTGTGTTGTATTCTTGCTAACATGAAACTAACAATTAGATCAGGGTGGCCCTGAACTCAGAGGAATTTGTCTGCCTCTGTATCCAGAGTACTGGGATTAAAGGGATGTTAACAGCATCTGTTAACAACATTGAGCTGTAGAGAGGTGACTGAGTAGACAGATAAAGGGCATTAAGGGGGTGCGAGAGCTGAGTAAATGCAGGAAGTTAAAGTGTGTGAAAAGGTGGGTAAAGGATGATGGGCTTGATGTCCTTGTACTTGATCTTCCTACCCAGCTTCCCGATGGCTAGGAATTCTGACTCTGTTGATGCCCAGGAACCACACAGTGGAGAGTGAGAAGCAATTCACACAAGTTGTTATTTGGGCTTCACATGGGGACCATGACATGGGCATGCCCCTCACCACACAAGCTAGTCAACAAATAATTATCATTTCAAAAAATAAAATATATCGGCATTCTCATAAGCAAAGCCATTTATACCCTGAAACTTGGCAATGACCTAGCTTCAGTTTCCTTCTTCAGTGCTGTGATCAAAGGTGTGCTCCACAACCCTACGCCCCTACCATACAATTCCTAAAACAGGAACTCAAGCTCACCAAAATGCGGTTTATCAGTAATTATTTCAGGGGTAGTATGGGATTGGCCACTCCTATTAAACAGTATTAAACAGAGCTGCCTTACTTGTATTTGCTTATGTCATCATGCATAGAAAAGGTGTGGTACCCCTAACCTACATCCCCAGCACCCCAGTACCATGTCATAGTTACCCAAAAACCACTAAGACTCAACACAGAAAGAAAAAGAGATTTTCCGCTTATGAACATAGATGCAAAACTTGTCAGTAAAATATTAAGAAAACAAATCAAAGGACACATCAAAAAGATCATATACCCATAATCAAATCCAAGACAGGGAGGGCTGGTCTGGATACAAAATCAAGAAATGTAATCCACTATATAAACAACCACAAAGAAAAAAACTACATCATCACATTAGATGGAGAAAAGGCTTTTGACACAATAAAAGTTCTGAAGAGATAAGAGATACAAGGAACATACCTAATCAGAATAGAGCCATTTCCAACAATCTATAGGCAGCATCAAATTAGATGGAGAGAAGTTAAAAGTTATTCACCTAAAATCAGGAACAAAACAAGAACTTCTATTCTCACCATGTCTACTCAATATAGAACTGGAAGCCTTAGCTAGAGCAATAAGACAACTGAAGGAGATAAATTGGAAAGGAAGAAATCACAATATTTTTATTTGACGATAGTAAAAACGGCAATCCTACCAAAAACAATCTGCAGATTCAATGCAATCCCTATCAAAATCCCAACACAATTCTTTACAGAACTTGAAAGGACGACTTTCAACTTCAAACGGGACAACAAAAACTCCAAGAGAGCTAACGCAATTCTGAACAATCAAAGGCCTGCTGGAGTGCTCACCATTCCAGGCTGCGCGCTGTACTACCCAGGTATATAATAAAAAACCGCGTGTTGTTGGCATAAAAACAGCCACATCGAACCATGAAATAGAAGTGAAGACCCAGACATGAGCCTACACGCCTAAGAACATCTGGTTTATATAAAGAAGCCAGAAATACGGGAAAAAAATACAGCATCTTCAACAAATGGTGCTAGACGAACTGGATGTCTGCACTGAGAAGAATGCACATAGACTCTACCCATCATCCCGCACAGAACTCGAGTCCACGTGTGTAAGACAACACGCGCCTGCCCGGTGTGAAACGCTAGCTGCTGAGTGCTGTATGCTTACACACAAGTCACGGCCAAGGCCGTGTCTGGATCCTCTCACCTGCCTAACGTGGGACAACCAGGTTTGCAGGGACCAACATGAGGGGTTACCCAGTCAGAAATTTCAGTGGCTCAAGCTAACCTCCCCAAACCCACCAACTTGGTTTTCCTCATTCACATGGTAAGAGTCAATGCATACTGGGAAAGTATACAGAAGGCACTTACAGACACTTCTACAGGTCAAATACTTACTCTCCAACCTAGCTGTTGCCTAGCCTATTTTTTCCCTGAAGAGTACACAATAAAGTAATCCTTGTATTCTGGTTTTAATGGAGTGGGTAGCTTTAGAAGTACGTGACACTCTGAACTTTTAATAACGAAGGAGGTTGAGTCAGGAGGACAGCAGGGTCAATGCCCCACGGGTATAAATACTGGGATCAAGGCCAAGAAAGTCAACATAACAAACCTTGTCTTAAATCTAGAAGGTGCAACTGTTCTGGAATTAATGTGCCGTCACAATAAGAAGTCATGCCACACACTTAGAGATTAACTGAGAAAAACTCTTCAGTATTCACAAGTCTCCAGCTTTACTAAAAACACAAAGAGGGGGTTAACAAGGAAAAGATTTGCTAATGTAAATACGCCACGGGCTTACGCATTCCACACACGATGTCCACCTGGAGAAATGCTGCTTACTGCCCTCCTGCTACCATGGCTTCCTCAGGAGCACCTGCCCAGGGTGGCACCATCACAGAGGGGTGGGCCCTATTACATCAACCACAAATAAAAAAATACCCTATAAGTCTGCCTACAGACCAGTGTGACTCTAGAGTAAGTCAAGCTGATCAAATGTAGCCGGCACACCTACCAAGTCACCTCTCAGTCCCGAAAGACAGACTTTTAAGCAAACCTCACCTCTCTTAACATTGTCTTTTCAGCATGTGCTTGTGCATGCACACATACAAAGTTTTGAAAATCTGTCACGTTTAGGAATGGAGAGACATCAGCTCTTGCAGAAGACCTGGGTTCTCTTCCCGGCACTAACATGGTGGCACACCATCACCCCTAGAGTCTCATGCAGGAGATCAGATGCCCCCTTCTGTCTTCTGTGGGCACAAAACACACGTGGTGAACATACACATATGCAGGCAAGACACTCATACATGCAAAATACGATTATAGGAAAAATAGAAACACATACTCTCATATTTCTTATAGGTCACCATAGACAAATGAGTCAGAAATACACAGAAATGTGACAAATATCTGCATCCAAAACTATAACTTTGTAATTCAAGGTCTCAAGAAACTTGGTAAAAGGAGAGAAAATCCATGATTGTAGACAGGAAGCCTAAATATTATTTTAGTATAGAATATGAGCTATGGATTCAGCAACACTCCAGTGAAAAGTCCAACAGTTTTTCCTACCAACAACAGAAAAATGATGACAAAAGGTCATCACGAATGGAAAAGTGATCAACACAGATTAGGTAACAGCACACACAGTGACACCATCCGACTTCAAAACGTCCCACACTGCTGCAATGAGACCGCGCTGTCCGAGGAAGACTCAGGCGATCAGCAGACCCTACGCGAACACTCGGGACTAAGTCACAACAGCGCAGTGGATTCTGACACCCGAGGCCGGGAGCCCGGGCAGTGTGGCCGCCCCGGCGTCCGCAGCAAAAGCGCTCCCGACGCGGACTCTGCGCCCGGCACCGAGTCCACGCATGCGCTCCTGAGCTGAGCGCTCGGCGCCCAGGGCACAGCGTCCGGGAGACGCTGGGGACGGCAGCGCGCTGCGTGGTGACGTCACGTGCGGCCCGGCCGCGCACGGCCCCCACGCCCCGTCCCGCGCGATTCCGCCGCGGACGAAGACGATCAGAGGCCTCGGGACCGGCGGCGGCGGCGGGGACGGCGGGGCTCACGTGACCGCAGGCCCGGGAGGCCCCGCAGCGGCTCCGCGGCCCCTCCCCGCGTGCGCACGGCGGCCCTCGCTCACCATGGCGGCTCCGCGCTCGCCCCGCGCTCCTCACAGCTCCCGGCGGCGGCTCACAGCGCGGCCCACGGAACGCGAGCGGCTCCCCGGGTCCAGGGCGGGCGAACTGCGGCATGGCGGACCGGAAGTGCCCGCCCCGCTCTGACTGACGGTGCGATGGCGGGCGCTGATTGGCCGGTGTGGCCTGAGTGACGGGCGCAGCTCCCTCAGGGACCGAGAGTGAAGGGTGCAGAGCCTGGGTTCCCGGCCCCGACTTCGCCCAGGGCAGAGCTTCCTGGACCCGCAGGGCGGGCGTGGATCTCACAGAGCGCGGGGCTGACCGCAAAGTCGTCCTGCGCTTTCCCGCTGAGTGAGCTCCTCGCACGCTTCCCCTGCGCTCAGGGCCGGGGTCTCAGGCCGGGCAGACGCCGGCCCAGGCTCTGCACTCTCCCAAATGTCCCTGTCTGTCCACCTGTGCCTCTCCCTTTCCATGAGCCGTCCTGTCCTTTCCTGTTTAAGTTCTTTTCTTTTTAAATCTGGTGCCTAAGCCAGGATCCAGCCATGCCTTTGCTTTTTTATTTGTTTCTTATTCCATTCGCAGTGTCTCTAGCATACACAGATAATTCATTACTTAGTGTCTAGGGAATGATTCCCTGAGATGACGCCCAGTCCATCCACGTCAACTTTAAACACCCTGATTGACATTTACCAGACACCAGAAATGTCGGTAAGGCTCACCTAGGATTGTTCACACTTCTCTCGGCTGCCGGAACACTCCCCCAGCCTTCTGTGGTGGCACTGGTATATCAAGCCAGCATTAGTGGAGGCAGGACATCAGAAGTTTAAACCAGCTCCATCTGTGACACCAAACACCAGACATTTTGGTACTGACAGAGAGGTGATGAGGGTTAGGTCATGCATAAGCTGATCATGCTAAGAAAGTTCATTGAGAAGGACGGCTCTGATACACTCTCTGTAGGGGAGAATGGGAAGGCAGTGGAAAGCTAATTAAGCCACACTGTATAGAGGAACACAGGCTGTCTCAGACTGAGCTGACAGTGGCATGGCACTGATGACACCATCCTCTCAGACTGAAGAACCTCATTCCTTGACTCCTTCAAGATGCTCACTCAAGCCCTGGCGCAGTCTCTCCCACACATGCTTCCTCCACATATCCACGTGTCTGTCTTCCAAGAGGCTGGCTCCATAGGGCTTCTGCCCGTGGATGTTGGGTTGCCCTGGACCCTCTTCTTGGGCTGCTGCCACACTAGGCTAGCACCTCCACAACCACTAAAGCTTCTCCTGTTGTTAAAACTTCCACACACACTCAGCCCATAGCTATGTGTGAGCAGCTCCAGCTGTTCTCTGTACAATTGTGCTATGTCTGCAGTGACAGCCACTCTCATGCTCACTGCCATTGTCAGCAGATTTGGTGAGACAACTGGGAATTCTATAGTGGAGGAATTAGTTAAAAAAAAATGAGGGTGGTTTTCCTCATGTTAAAATGGGAAACAATATTACAATGAAGGGAGGTAGGTCTCTGTATGATTCCACGATGGATGGGTTGAAAATGGAACAATTAAATAAAGGCATACTTAACTTAGCTGGTATTTACATAATGTCATTGATAATCATTACTAGTTTGGCAAGTCTTGTTTTATTTCCCCAAACGTTGGTTGATACCAGGGCCAAATATGAAAACCTGATAAGATAAAATCCTTAGAAAGATAGATTAACGGAAACAAGAAAAACTCACACACAAGCAGAGGGGTTTAGAGCAGAAGTTATCACACCATGGCTTTATGAAGCTGAAGAGGAGTGCCCCAAGGTTATTAGAAAACAAACCTTAATTTATGACAAAGGCTATTGAGAAGTAAACTAGAATCCTATAGAAATGTTAGATTTGAAAAGATTTAAGGAAGCAATAGTTTCATATGGTATGCATTCACCTTTTGTGAAGCAGATGTTAAATTCATGGGCCACTTGGAAAAACAATTATTCCTTAAAGACTGAAAAGAGTTAGATACATCAGTGTTGAAAGCAGGTCCTCAGTTCCAGTGGAGAACATGGTGGAGAGACAAAGCAAGGGCCACTGAACAATGAGGTAGGGTTAGATGTTGTAAAATTTTCCAAGATCAAATCCTTGGTGAGGGCCATGATGCTGAGGTGGAAAGACAGATCATACCTTGGTCCTATGCCATACAGAAGCTTTGAATGCTTGGGACGAGATTGAAGAATCAGGAAAGAAGATTGATCTATCTAGTAAAATTACACTAGGCCCAAAGAAGCCTTCACTGACTTTTTTTTTTTTTTTTTTACAAATATTGACTTTAGCTGTAAATAGAATGTCAGATCCAGGAGTTAGATGCATATTAATTGAATCTGTGGTTTTGAAAATAAAATGCTAATTTAGAATGTAAGAGGGTGATCAGGCCTTAAAGTATGAGATTTGTACCCACAGATGAATGGATTAGAAATAACATCTATTGAATCTCACACTTATGATAATACTTGGGTAGGAGAAGTGACTTCTAAAAATTTTAAGAAAGCTCAAAAGGTTAGATGTCTTAATTGTGGTAAAGCAGGTCATCTGAAAAGGGACTGTAGGCAAGGTGTTCCTAGAAGCAATATTTTTTCTAGAGAGAATCCAACATAAGGCCTCAGCATTCTTGAATATGCAGAAGGTGTGACAAAGTTCAACAATAGACTAATGAATGTAGATCAACAACGGACTGGCAAGGTAACCCTTTGCCATCAGGAAATATCACCGGGGGCCTCTTGTAGGCCCCCATATCAAATTTGGTTCAGTCATTCCTTATTAGTATTGGGAAAAATCCTCCACAGAACAATTAAAAGACTACTACTCTGAATGACAGAACAACTTTAGAAGATTTAAAATTTTTTCATGAGAAACCACGAAGCAAATATTTTGATGAACTTCTATAAATGATCAAAGACCAAAGTTAAAAATACAAATAAATGACATTTTAATTGAGAGTTTGGCAGACACATGGGAAGATGAAACAATAATTGCACCAAAACTTTGGCATTCAAGTTGGCCTCTTCAGGAGGTTCACCTTTTAGTGATCTGAACTTTATCTCAGGTAAAACAAAGCATGAGACATGTCAAATGTATAAGGCCAGAACGACAGGATGGAGAATTGAAGCCATATGTGTCTAAAGTAGCAATGAATTTATGTGGGCATGATTTGTTACAGCACTGGACTACCCAGATTAATTAGAACAGTCAACAACCATCTGGGTTGTACATAAACAGAGCACAACAGCAACCCATCTTTCAGTTCCCAACAGCCCTACCTTTAACATGGTAAACTGACAAACCTGTCTGGGTGGAACAGTAGCCTACATCAGAAAAATTACAGGCCTTAGAACAGTTGGTATAGGAGCAGCTAAATGCTCAACATACCAAAGAGCTGACAAGTCATTGTAATTCTGATATTTGTCATTAAAACAAATCTGGAATATGGAGAATAGTAATGGATCAAAGAGCTATTGATAAGGTGATTCAACCAATGGGCTCTTTACAGTCTGGAATTCCCTTGCCTTCTCTATTAGCTAAATGGGGGTCTGTTATAGTGATTGATTTAAAAGATTTTTTTTCTGTACCTTTGCAAGAATAGATTAGAGAAATATTTGCCTTCACAGTGACTACTTACAATATTTCCCTGCCTATTAGAAGATATCAGTGGAAAATTCTTGCACAAGGAATGTTATAGAGTCCTACCTTGTGTCAATATTTTGTACAGCAATCAGTTTCCTCAATCTATAATTTACCATTACATAGATGATACCTAATAAGTTGATTCAGATGCAGATATACCAGAGAACATGTATGAAGAAGTTAAGAACATTTTGCCTTGTTGGGGATTACAAATTGCTCTTGAAAAAATACAAAGAGAAGATACTATTAATTAGGATGTTGAGCACTTTCTCAAGTGACTCTCAGCCATTTTAGACTCCCCTATTGAGAATTCTCTAGTTTTATACCCCACTTTTTAATTGCATCCTTTGGTGTTTTGGAGACTTGCTTCTTGAGTTGTTTTTATATTTTGGAGATCAGCCCTCTGTCAGATGTGGGGTTAGTGAAGATCTTTTCCCAATCTGTGGGCTGCTTTTTTGTCTTGTTGCCTGTGTCCTTTGCCTTACAGAAGCTTCTTAGTTTCATGAAGTCCCATTTGTTAATTGTCGATCTCAGTGTCTGTGCTACTGGTGTTATGTTCAGGAAGCTGTCTCCTGTATCAATTTGTTGAAGAATATCTCCCACTTTCTCTTCTAAGAGTTTAAGTGTGGTTTATAAAGAGAACTAATTGGATCCTTTCTCACATTGTACAGGGAAACATCAATGACTGGAGCCCTTACATTCTATACTGGTGCAAAAAAAATCAGAAAATGCAAGTTATAAGTCAGGAAATTTAAGTAGCTCAAGGCCCTTATGATTATGCTCAAAAGCCAGAATTACATGCTAATCTAATGGTATTTTTATATTTTCCAGACCCTGTTAATAGAGTTACTGACTCTGAATATGCAGAAAGAACAGTTTTACATACTGAGACTGCTGAACTTATTCCAGATGGTTTTGAATTAACTTTGTTTTTTTTTGTTTTGTTTTTCGAGACAGGGTTTCTCTGTATTTTTTAGAGACTGTACTGGAACTCACCTGTAGACCACGCTGGCCTCAAACTCACAGAGATCTGCCTGCCTCTGCCTCCTGAGTGCTGCAATTAAAGGCGTGTGCCACCAACGCCTGGCTAACTTTGGTTTTTATTCAGTTACAAATAGAAATCATCCCTTGTCTATAACACATATCACATCCCATATGGCTCCAGTAGCCCTTCTAGCACAAGGTAACGATGAAGTTCATCAGCTACTGGTAGGAAATGTGCTTGAAGCCTCAGAATTTCATAAGAAGCACCATGTTAACAGCAAGGGTTTAAAAAAAAAGATTTTCTGTCACTTGGCAACAAGCCAAGGAAATTATAAGGGTCTGTCCTACTTGTTCTTGGTATAACCAAACTCCAATACCTGCATAAAGTAACCCAAAGGACACTCTATGAAATGAAATTTGGCAAATAGATGTGTTTCATTTTGCCGAATTTGGAAAATTAAAATACATGCACAATACCACAGGTATATATTCAGGATATCAATTGACACCTGCTTTGAGTTCTGAAAAGGATGACTCTGTAATTACACATTTATTGGAAGTTATGGTCATCATGGAGACACCTGTACAAATTAGCCCTGACATGACTCCAGCATATTCCTCTAGTAATATGAAACAGAGTTTTTCATATCATAACATAAAGCATATTCTGGGCACACCACACAATCCTACAGGGCAAGCAGTTACATAAAGATAGAATCACACTCTAAGAGATATGCTTACCTAAAGAGCAAGAGATAATAAAACCTCCAGAGATAGACTGCACAATTTTTTAACTTTAAGTTTTAAGTGCGAATTAGAAAGGAATGACAGTTGTAGAGAGACATTAGATGGTATAAAAACACTGCTGAATTAAATCTGCCTGTATATTTTAAAGATGTGTTGACCTCAGAATGAAACTAGGATATGTGTTACATTGCAAAGAGGTTTTGCTTTTGTTTCCACAGGAGAAGAAAAGCTACAAATACTCTCAAGATTAGATGTGAACAGGAGAGGCAATTACAGTAGGTGAGGCAATAGTTCAAACACTATAAACTAACACATAAGACTAACAAATGAAAAAAAAAAGACTAACAAATGCCTTTCATTTGATCAGGTATAACATTCCCAAAACGAAACTCTCTGAAGTTAGGGTTGAAGCAGGATATTGTTTTTGTCTTATGCAGAAAATGAGGGCATCCAACTAAGGAATTTGAAGACTACTGGACAAATGAGAAATAATCCAGACACAAATTCATCTCTGGATAAATAATTCAGAGAAAATGTCCCAAGACATTTTCTGTTGTAGGAATTTAGAATTTAGGAGAGTCCCTGCATCTAGGATAAAGATTAGAGTGAATAGTTGTTTCCCAGAAGTGCTTTGACTGTGAAGAAATCATTGTAGAAAACAATGATTGCTTTCCATGACTTGTAGAATTGTTTTTCTAAAGTGACACTATGTCCTTTGCATGTTGTTGGTCAAAAGACACTTCTGGCACATCTGAAGTTCTTGGATTACTGGGTTCCCCAAAACGGTACACAATCAGAACTAAAGCAGCAATGACAAAATGTTTAACCCCCCCAAAAAACCCCACCCATTGATTGTGTAGCAATCAATAAATATGCCTGTCAATAGCAGTTTCAGGTTGAGTCTATCAGAAGCTAGAACTTCCTGCTGCTACACAAGCCTAAAAAGTTCATGGAAAAGTGACCTCTTTTTTTTTTTTTTTTTTTTTTTTTTTTTACAAATTGATGCAACAGAGATCCCTGGAAATCAATCTAACTCTAGTTGTATCAAGCTGACCAAATCCAACAAGCAACCTAGAATCATCCCGAGATCCCAAGCACAAATTTTTAAGCAAACCTCAACTCTCTTAATACTGAGTTTTCAGTGTGTAGATCTGAATATAGACACAAAATTTTGATGATGGGGAATGTCTTTCTGTGTATATGTTTCTCTTATTGGTTGATGAATAAAAGTTTGAACAATAGAGGCAGGAAGATAAGTGGAACTAGGAGACAAGAGGAGAATTCTGGAAAAGGCAGAGAGAGGCGCCACCAGCAGATGCCATGTGGCAGATGGGGGAGTGATAGGTCCGGACCCTTCTCTGGTGAGAATGGACCACATGGAAATGCTTGGATGGTGGAACTGGGTAAATAATTGGGACAGAGCTGGTCAGTGGGAAGCTCTAGCCATCAGGCCAACAGATTTATAGTTAATACAGCACTCTGGTGTGTTCATCAACAGATTTATAGTTAATAGAGCACTCTGGTGTGTTCATCAACAGATTTATAGTTAATACAGCACTCTGGTGTATTCATCAACAGATTTATAGTTAATACAGCATTCTGGTGTGTTCATCAACAGATTTATAGTTAATACAGCACTCTGGTGTGTTCATCAACAGATTTATAGTTAATACAGCATTCTGGTGTGTTCATCTGGGGCTGAAGCAGCAAGACCTGGCAGGACAAGAAACTCTAGCAACATGTAGACACAAAAAATTTTGATAATCTGTCAAGTTCAGGACTGGAGAGATGACTCAGTAGTGAAGTTTCCTTACTCTTCCACTAGAAGACATGAATTTTATCCCAAGCACTACATTGTGGGTACATAATAATGCTTACATACTGTTGCAGGGAATCTAATGCACTCTTCTCTCTTCTACGAGCACCAAACATACACTGAAGCAAAACACACATGCAGATGAAATAAAATATAGTAAATTAAAAACACCTCCACATTTCCTTTATGTCACAATAGACAAACCAGCCAGAAATACATAGAAATATGAAAGATATCTATAGGACTAAGCCATGCACCAAGTGCTTCATTGGGAATTCTAGGCAGAGGCTTTACCCCTAAGAAATGCCCCAGATCTTCATTGGGGTTTTCTGTGCAGGGTATTTACCACTGAGCCACAACATTGCCTGGTTTCCTGTTTACTGGCATAACTGAGTTTTAGGACTAGAAGCTCAAATTATCTTCTGACTCTACTTTTCCAATCCCTGTTATCACCCAGTGTTACATACTGGTTATGTTTCCCATTCAGAGTGGGCTTATACTTCTGGGTGGAAGACTGATGTAGGTATCATATTGGAAGTTGTAAAATATCAGGTATTAGAGAGTGATGGGAATCAGAGGGGAAGAGTGTGGGCAGCCATGGTGTGATGAGGTCAGCTGCATACCATTGGTAAGGTCCTGGCTGGTCTCCCAGTGCACTGAGTCCCACTCATCAAACTGCAGGCTAGGGAAGAAGGCCCCTGAGGCTTCAGCATGCGCAGAGCTGGTCTGTGTTCTCAACAGACCTGGGCCTGCATCACTTGCATCTATAGCAAGACACACCCATACCACACTATTCCACCTGAATCAGTACTCCAGCTTCAGTGGACATAGGTGGCTGAAGGAGGGACGTGTTGTTGAGGCAAGTTTCCCAGGCTGGATCTGACAAGCTGCCCATCTGTACAGCTATTATTAAGAATGATGTAAACATACTACACTGGTTATCACGGTTACAATAACCAGTTGGAGTATCAGTAACCAGACTTGCACTGAGACTCTCTTCCTTCCTTCTCTTTGCCTGTGAGAAGTGGGAGGCTTTTATAATACCTTGGCATCTGAGAGGTTCTTCAGTTTTGTGTAATTTCAGTGGGCCACAACAGTGAGTAGGAGGAAGCCCTCCTTTTTGACATTTTCCTTGTCCTTCTCCAGGGACTCCTGGGCACAGCTCTGGTCCAGACATGCTGATATTGCTGCTTCTTCCTCCTCCTCCTTTTTTTCAAAACAGGGTTTCTCTGTGTAAGTCTGGAGCCTGTCTGTAGAGCAGCCTGCCTTTGCCTCCCGAGTGCTGGGATTAAAGGTGTTGCCACCACACCTGGCTCTTGCGAGCTTCTTGGGCTCCTTATGAAGCCAATGAAGCTGCAGCTTGTCCATGGCCAGGTTGACCCTGGCTATGTGCTCCCTCTCTGCATAAACAATGTCTCATTTTGCATCTACTGCCCTAGCCCATATAAGATTCTCAAGACGTTTGGACCCCAAAGACAATTGGATCATGGGCCTCTTCCCATCCTTCCATGCAGAACTGTCTGCATTCCACCTCAAGGAAAGTTCTGAATTCTGACTTGAACCTAGGGAAATTCTGACCTTGCCATGGATCTCTGGCTACTAGCAGTGTGTTTGGCTTCCTCCCTTGGTAGTCCAGGCCTGTTCTCCTGGTACTTAGGTGGCTAAGGCCAAGGGGCAGTTCAAAGGCTACAATGTAGGTTCTAAATCAGTCTAGGCAAGTGAGAGAACTGTCTCAAAACAGATATACACAATATATTTAACAAAAATTTTTATTTCTTTGCAGTTTTTGTCTGATTTTGAGATGAAGTCTCAGTGTCGACAAGTGTATCAAAATGTCATCTACATCAATGTTTTCAGTTCATAATGGTCTCATTCAGTACAGAAATAGCTCAGCATTCGCCAGGCCTCTGCAAAGAGAGGTATTGAAACCTGTCATCCAGAATTATTATGATGTGAAGGCAGAAACCTCATGATTACATAGGTCAGCCTGAGCTTTATGAGCCTGTTTCAAAAAGAAAACATCAAAAGCAATGACTAACAAAAAATAGACCAAGACTTGCAACCAAGACTGATGGATATGGTTTGGTTCTTACAATCCACATGGTAGGAGGAGAGGACTGCATCACATAGGCTGTCATCTGATTCCAAATTACACTCTGCATGTGCATGCACAAAGACAAGAATAATGAACTAAACCTTAAGAAAGAGATAAAAACAATCTTGAGATGGTTCCACAGTTCAGTGCCTGGTGTGGAGCACACAGAGAACATTGCTGCTTCACTAAGTTCCAGTATTTTAACATTGCAGACCACAATCCTCCAGCATTTTTTAATTTCATTTTTAATAGTTCTCACTATGTGTTATGGGAGTTTCCTTATACCTTTTCCTTCAGGAAATTTTGTGTGGGCTTCAGTGGAGAATAAGGATATATAAAATGACAGTCTCTTTAAACAAAGTAATTCTTTGGGAAAAATCTCCATCACCATAGAACCATATACTGTGATAACTCTGCCGACTCCCACACAAGAATCCACATTGTGTCTCCCATTACACCAAGAACAGAGAGAACTGGTGACACCTGGTCACAAGGATGAAAGCACACTGGGTAGAAACAACGGGCTCACATCAAGATAGGCATTTAGATACTTGAACTTACTGCTTTTTGCCTTAGTAAAAATGCTACGATGGGGTTGATGGCCACGTTCATCCTAGAATCATATGGCTAAACTATTGTGCAATTGTAGAGAATAAAAGGTATAGGTCTTTGAGAATAAACCAGCAGCTATTTTAATTCACCCTCAGATCCTGTCAATCTCCTTCCTTCATCGACTTTATACCTCCTCTTTGAGACCTGAACCCCATTGGAGCTGGACTCTGGCAAATATATTAAAAACAAAAACAAAAAACCACAGTTCAGTTTCCAGCCCCACATGGCAGCGTACATCTTGAATGTCAAAGTTCCAGGGAATCCAACCACCTTTTCTTGCCTTTGTGTGTGGACAGATATGCAGACAGATACACAGGGTCATGGGGCAAATATACCTTAAGGAGAGCCTAATGGCAGGAGCCACTCACGTGGAAGAACTCTTCTATCCTCTTATGCCTGGATGCCAGGTCCACCAGCTGACTCTGTAGTTGGCTTTTGTGGTTTGGCAGGATGCCCAGACCCCGTACTCCAACCTATACTGGGTTCCACCCACACCTGCACTAGTAGCTCCTGTAATTAGAGGCTTTTCATCCCACCCAGTCTGCAGCCACTTTTAAAACAGCCACTCAGAGGATTAATACTAATTATATACTGTTTAGCCTTTTAGCTCAAGCTGATTATTAACTAGTCTATACAACTAAATCAACTCATCTTTATATATCTATGTATTGCCATGTGCCTGTGATGGTACCTTATGTTTTAAACACCTTGCTTTCTTGGTGGCTGGCATCTCCCCGACTCTACACTTATTTATTCTCTCTGTATCTCTGCTTGCATTTCCCATCTGGCTCTATTCTGCCTGTCTACTGGCCAAATTAGTTTCTTTATTAACCAACAGCAATAAAACATATTACCAGCATACAGAGGGACATACCACATAATTTCCCCCTTTCTGTCTAATCAAAAAGGAAGGATACAGTTACAATATTTAGTCTATTTGTATTTGAAAAAATTAAAAATACTCTATTCTATCTTTGCAAGCCTCAAGTTTTATATCTAATTATCTTTGGTCATAACTAAGGAAAACTATAATTATAACTAAGTCTTCAACTCCATCAAAGACCATAGAAGATTCAATATTACACGAGAAACAGACAAGTGAATTGTAAGCAACTTTCAAAATTCTAAAATTGACAAAAGATATCTGGCTGCCTGGATGGTCATCCAAAGTTGTTCTGTAACACTGAGGCATCCATCTTCAGTCTACAGGCCTACAGTATCTGGCAGATTTCCCAGCAAAGCAGAAGCTGTCCTACCTATATTGACAGTTTGTCAGTCATTTTTCTCTATGTCCTGAAGAATTTTCGGCAGACTCTTCCATGAAGCAGGAACCCTGAAGTACTGTCCCATCTTGTTTTGCCAAGTTCAGTAGTCATTTTTTTTTATGTATCCTATATGTTCAGTTTATACAACATACAGTCAAACAGTCCAGGCAAGAGCAGTTTCTTGTTCAAATGGCTAGCCCTGCCATCTTGAAAGCAAATTCCCAAAGGAGCTTCGATACACATCATTCTCCCAGGAGCAGTCGTGTCTCATGGCTGAGAAAAGTCTAAGTTCTTAAAACATTTTAAATGCCATATTCTGTAGGTCTTTGAAGTGTTTGAAGATTACTCATGTGAAATATATCTTTGTATTACCTTGAAAACTAACATGACTATAAGTTTGATAGACATGAGTGACTATTAGCTTGCAATTCTTCATTATGCTGACTAGCTTTTAAGGATGAAAACTTCATATTGTGTAATTAAACAAGCTGTATAGGTATGAGCTGTATAGGTAATATCTTAAGCAAAAATAGGAACAGATATGCAGTATGAGGACAATAGTCTTAAATTTGTATCAATATAAAAAATTCCTGCCAATGCAAAATATCTGAGATAAATAATGATCTTCACATATTATATTCCCCTAAATATAACAAACATCCATTATCCACCAAATAACTGAAGACCATCCATAAACCCCAACTCTTGGAATGTGGATGTCATTTTCTCCAAATTGCTTCCTCCTGTCTGTGGATGAAGTATCTTTAGGGTCCCTAATAAAATTTTGAGATAATGAACAAGTGGTGAGAGGATCAGTGGTAACCCGTGTTGATAGACATCATCTGTCAAGGTTCAGAAGGTCTCCCTTGATCAAAGCTGGTCCATCTTAACCCCAAGCAAATCCACAGCCTCTTGTTTAGGCAAAACTGCTTCTCCAAAGCAATGCATCTTTTAATTTACATTTTGCAAACATATTTTTTGACTTGTGTTTCAAAGATAAGGTTTTTAAAAAATATTTAGGTTGGTATCTTTTATCAGTATCTCTTCTAATCCCATGTCTCCCAGCAGCTGTCTCTTCCCCAGGAGCCATTAAAAAATTCAAAACCAACACAATAATACGCACAATCAAGACTCCCTGTGTATTTGCCATGTTTATTTGGCTTTTTTCTTTTATATTACTTTTACTTTCTCCTTTAAGACTTTATTTTTTTTAACTATTTATTTCTTTTAATAGTGGTCTGTACCCAATGTCTTAAGCCTACAGAGAATTTCTAAACATACTGTGACACATTTAGAGGTTTCTTTTGGTCTGAATCTGTCTTTATTGCAAATTTGTAATCACTGATCAATGTTTTACATTTTGTAAGTGGGCTTGACTAGGATCAAAATGGTATCATTGGCAGTTGGCTCCACCCAATTTGGCTTTCAAACATGGCGGAGGTACATTCATGGCAAGCTCTGGCGATCACATTTCCTCACTGATAAAATTCTCTGCCACTCATTTGTGTTTATGAGAATATGATTAGAAGAAGTATTTAACCTCAGAATCAAATACCATGATCCAAAAATAATGGGATGACAGATAAATACCATTTTCTATTGCAAATACATTTATTATTCAAATTATCATGCATATCTATTATTCTTGCAATATAATATGTTTACAACTTGAAAAACAGACAACATTTTACAGATGCAATGGTTGTACTAATCTTACCAAAGCAGCAGTGAGATAACTCTGGGGGGAAAATGTATTTGGATCCTAAGGCCTGGCCTCATTTATTAGTTTCATGGGGATTTTCATCAGTTTGAAAGTTTTCATAATTTTGAAGGATACTTCAATGTGCAAAGGCTCTATCACACTGATTACCTTCATAAGGTTTTCATCAAGCTGATTTCTTTCTTGCCTGTGAAGATAACAGTTCTGTACAAAGTCTTTACCACAATTATTGCATTCACAGGACTTGTCTCCAGTATGAGGTTTCTTTTATTTGAAGGTGACTGTTAAATGCAAAGTCTCTAGCACATTGATTATATCCACAGGGCTTCTCTCTAGTATGAATTCTTTCATGCCTGTGAAGATGACTTTTACGTGAAAATGCTTTATCACATTGGTTACATTCATAGGGTTTCTCCCCAGTATGAATTCTTTCATGACTGTGAAGATGACTATTGTGTGCAAAGGCTTTACCACATTGATTACATACATAGGGTTTCTCTCCAGTATGAATTCTTTCATGACTGTGAAGATGACTCTTCCTTGCAAAGGCTTTACCACATAGATTGCATTCATAGGGTTTCTCAGTTTCATGACTTCTTTCATGAATGATAAGATTATTCTTCTGTTCAAAGGATTTAGCACTTTGATTATATTCAGAATGTTTCTTGCAAGTTTGTCTTCTGTCATGACTGAGCAGATTACTCTTCTGTGCAAACGTTTTACCACACTGAGTACATTCATAGGGTTTCTCTCCAGTATGAATCCTTTCATGACTTCGAAGATTACCCTTCTGTGTAAAGGCTTTACTACATTGATTACATTCATAGGGTTTCTCTCCAGTATGAATTCTTTCATGATTGTGAAGAGAACTCTTTTGTGCAAAGGCTTTCCCACATAGATTACATTCATAGGGTTTCTCTCCAGTATGACTTCTTTCATGACTAAGAAGATTGCACTTCTCTACAAAGGCTTTACCACATTGACTACATTCATACGGTTTCTCTCCATTATGAATTCTTTCATGAATGAGAAGCTTATACTTGTGTGCAAAGGCTTTACCACAATAATTACATCCATAGCGTTTCTCTCCAGTATGACTCTTTTCATGCCGGTGAAGATTACTCTTCTCAGCAAAGGCTTTACCACATTGATTACATCCATAGGGTTTCTCTCCATTATGACTTCTTTTACATATTTGAAGATAACTGGGACTTGCAAAGGTTTTATCATATTGCTGATATTCACAGGTTTTCACTACAGAATAAGATCTGTGTACTTGATGAAGACTGGGATATGCAGAGACTTCATCACTTTGATTATATTCACAGGGCTTTTCTTCCAAATGAGTTCTTTGGTGTAAAGAGGAATCATATCTAATTGCTTTACATTCATAGAAATTCTCTTCATTAATGGTTGTTTTGTGTGTTTGAAGATACCTGTGATGGTTAAACTCTTTAGTACAAAGCTCACATTTTTCACTTCCTCTTTCCACATGAGTTTTTTCATGTCTTTGAAAAGAACTGGAAGAACTCAGAGTTTTAGCACAGTGATTGCTCAAATAACATTTTCTTATACTGTGAGTCACACTACCTGTGCAAAGTGAACTAGTACAGACAAGTGAATTTCTGTCATCCTTGTTCTCATAAGGTTTTTCTCCAAAGTGAGAGTGGAAACTTGTATCACAGTCATCATGTTTTCTCATAGTAGTGACCACATCATATCTTCCAATTGTTCCAGGAGAAACAGAGGTAGACTGCTTCTTTCCATATCCCTGATGCTCACATGGCTTGTATCCACAGAGACAGTTGATATGCCTATCAAAGGAAGGATATCATATAAAAGGTTTTCACACTGCATTCACACAGTCTAACATTTTGTGCCTCAACGATGTGGTATATGGATTCATGTTTCTACACCTCTATAAATTCCTTGTCTCTCATAAAGTGCTCCTCTCACTAAACTATGGTAAGTCACTCATTACAAGCATATGAGGAACACTGGCTTTGATATTGAAAATTTTCTTATTAAAGATCCTAGAATAGTATAATCCCCTTATCAATGTGTATATCTTATATGATGATTGCATAGCATGACAACAAGTGGATGGACAAATCTACAATACAGCCACACATAATCACAATATGATTAAAATTATGACATCTCTTATGGCACTTTTTCCTTATCTTACCTTAAAGGAATGCTTTCCAAACGGTGATCAGCTACCTGAACTTGGACTACTTGGTGCTGTGATACTGTAATAATCATCACAAACCTGTGCTAATTTACATTGTTGCTATTCTTTAAAAGTTCAGGGAACACTAACATTTCTTCCAAGGTCCATATATACCTGCTTGCACATGCAATTACCTTCCGTGTCTTCCAGAACTTTGACAATGCTCTTCAATACCTTGATCGTCCCACTCGTACCCTAAAATACAGCACCAGAAAGTGTATGAGATATATTACTGGAAATCAGGCACAACTGAAATTAGCATCTTTTGTGAATCTTTGAACAATGCCTGATTTACTCACTAGATTCTTTCTCCTTCCCATTCAAAATCACAGAAGAGCAATAATCTCCAAGAAAAGCTTGTCATCTTAAGTTGAAAACTGAGAGAAAGTTCACATTCCTACCTATAGAAGTGAGGTTCCAATAGGTTTCCAGCATCACATCTTTGTAGAGACTCCTCTGGGAAGGATCCAGCAAAGCCCATTCTTCATGAGTGAAGTTCACATGCACATCCTCATAGGTCACTGCATCCTAAAGTATCCCATAGTGTACATAAGAGAAATGGTGAGACTGACTGCATTGCAAAAGTACACTTCATTGAAAATATATTTACCTAATTCATTGTTTTAGTTATAGTCTATCACATGGGTAATAAAATACCAAAGGCAGTTGCCAACAGACTTTAAACAGAAACACAAAGGATAACCATGCTCTCCATATGTGTGCCCACAAAAGAGAACAGGGAACTGCAGAAGAAATGCCTAGTAATAAATCCAGAGAGACATTCAAACAGAACAATACAATAACATCAGCAAATTTCATCAAAATTATTAACTTAAAAAGGGATAGACAACACGGGTGTGGTGGGGCCCACCTTTAATCCCAAACCTCAGGGAACCAAGGCAGGTGATACTCTGTGATTTCCAAGTCAGCCTGGTCTATGTAGAGAATTCCAGACAGCCAATGATACATAATGAGACTCTGTCTCAAACTAACAAAAAACAAACACATAGAAATCACACAGAGTTTCACTCAAAATTCCTCAATAGAGTTAAAACATGCACTCCAATTCTGTAGGGGATCTGACTCTGGTTCCATGGACACCAGGCACACATACTACACAGGCATGTAAGTAGGAAAAATTCATATATAGCAAAATTATTACCGTAATAAAACAAAAAGGACAAAGGGACTGAAGATATATCTCAGTTGGGAGCATGCTTGCCTAGCATGCAGAAATCTCTCAGTTTAATTTCTGTTCCATGTAGTGTACAAGGATTAGGACGCCTGTAATCACAGAACACGAGAGGTGGATGTAGTAGGACTAGGACCAGAAACTGAATGTCATTCTTGAGGACATAGGAAAATTGAGGGCACACTGCCTTAAGAAACAAGAACACAAAAGCAATCATAAAAGAATATTCTAGGAGAAAGTAGAGAAAACCATATGGGACGCAAGTTCTAGAGTTATGAAAGCCCACAAATCTGGAATAGGTATTGATTTCATACATAGGCAACAGAAATGGCAACCAGGGTGTGAGAACTGAACTCTGTCTTCTGTAAATTTCACATGCACATTTTCTACTGAGCCATCTTTCTAGCCCTTAGAGACTGTTTATGCACAACATGGCTTCAGTTTCTTATTGTTATTAACAGCACAAGACATGTTTATCTCAGAGGAGGCAGATCCTTAGAATGCACCAGGAAAGTCTATATCTGAAGAAAACAGGATTTCACTGTCCACCAGCAAGAATCCATAGGATCAAAGGAACAGTTCTTGCTTGTCTAGTTACAACCATCATATCCCTATATAATTATATATAGCTCTGAAAATAAAACATTGAGGTTTAGGTTAAAGACAGAGGTCTCCCTAAAATGAAATTTTTAGAGAAAGGTCTTTTTCAGAGGGCATGGAGACCTGAATGATATCTCTGACCTCACCAACTGGGAAGTGGAAGCACAAGAATTGGGACTTCAAGGTCTACTTTTGCCCCATAAGATCCTATCACAAAGAAAGAAAAACAAGCAAACAAACAGAAAAGTCTCTCTACGATGACACATGAAGGTCCCAACCGATTCAAAGGAGCTCTAGAAAAATTTAGGAATAGTGCCACATAAAACACTTCCTTTTCTTTGTAAGACTTATCTGTTTAATGATATCTATAATTTAGTTGAAGGAACATTTTAATCCCATTACTATTTTTTCAGTGTCTACTGGTTGGAGATCCCCTGTTTGTAGGCCCTAGATTAGATCCTAAGGCCCATCTGGTACCACCCCACCCGTCACTCCCCAGCTCCTGGTGAGCAGGAGCACCCAGAGGCATGGACACCACCTGCACTGATTGGAGAAAGACTGGTCCCCTAAGACACAGGCAGCACCTGTGTACTGATTTGAAAAAGAATTAACACCTGTACCTGTAGTTACCCCAAACCCAGATGAGTAGACAGCAGTGCAAGATATGTTCAAACATATAAAGAGCAATGTGGCACCACCAGAACCTAGTGATTCTACAACAGTAAAATCTAACCATCCCAACATCGATGAAACAGAAGAAAATGATCTTTATGAAGATGAAAGAGGCTCTAAAAGAGGAAATGAAAAAAAGTGTCAATATAAAGCATCCAGGAAATCTGGGACACCATGAAAAGACCAAACCTAAGAATAACAGGAATAGAAGGAGAATAAAACCAGCTCAACAACTCAGAAAATACATTCAACAAAATCCCAGATGAAAACTTTCCCAGCCTAATGAAGGACATGCCTGTGAAGATACAAGAAGCTTACAGAACACCAAATAAACTGGAACAAAAAGAAAAAGTCCCGCTGATACATAATAATCAGAACACTAAACATACAGAATAATAAAAGAATACTAAGAACGTCAAAGGAATAAAGGCCAAGTAACATAGGAAGGAAGACCTACAGGAATTACACCCAAATTCTCAATTAAGACTTGGAAAGACAGAATGTTCTGGACAGACATTTTGCAGATACCAAAAGACCATGGATGCTAGCCCAGACTACTTTCAATCAACACAGATGGAGAAAACAAGATATTCCATGACAAACCCAGATTTAAACAATACGTTTCCACAAACCCAGCCCTACAGAAACTACGAAAAGGAAAATTCCAACCAAAGAAAGTTAGCTGCATCCACGAAAACACAGGCAATAGATAATCCTACACCAGCAAATCCTAAAGAAGGGAAACACACACACACACTACACCACCACCACCAAAACCAAAAAGTAACAACCATTAGTCATTAATGTCTCTTAATATAAATGGACTCAATTCACCTATAAAAAGACACAGGCTCACAGAATGTATACAAAAACAGGATCCATCCTTCTGCTGCATAAAGAAATACAACTCAACTTCAAAGACAGATATTACCTCAGAGTAAAGGGTTGGGAAAAGATATATCAATCAAATGGGCCTAAGAAACAAGTTGGTGTAGCTTCCCTAATATCTACCAAAATAGACTTCAAATTAATCAAAAGAGATGAAGAAAGAAAGTTCATATTCATCACAGGAAAATCTATCAGGATGAATTCTGAACATTTATGCCACAAATACAAGGACACCCACATTTCTAAAAGAAACATTTCTAAAGCTTAAATCACTCATCAAAACCCACAAACTAATAGTGGGAGACTTCAACACCTCACTCACACAGGTCTGCCAGACAGAAACTTAACAGAGAAATAAGGGAATTAACAGATGTTATGACTCAAATGGGCTTAATAGATATCTATAGAACATTCCACCACAAAACAAAATAATATACCTTATTCTCAGCACCTCATGAAACTGTCTCTAAAAGTGACAGTGTACTCTGTCACAAAACATATTTCCATAGATACAAAAAATTGGAATAACTCTCTGTATCATTTGGATCATTATGGCTTAAACTTAGAATACAACAACAACACAAATTACAGAAAGCCTACAAACTCATGGAAACTGAATAATGCCCAATTGAATCACCATTGGGTCAAGGAAGAATTTAAAGACTTCCTAGAATTCAATGAAAATGAATGAATGCACAATACACCCAAACTTAGAGATAGTATGAAAGCAGTGATAAGAGGAAAGTTCATAGCTCTAAGTACCTATATAAAGAAACTAGAGAATTTTCACACTAGTGACTTAACAGCACACCTGAAAGGTGTAGAAAAAAAGGAAGTAAACTCTCTCAGGAGGAACAGACACAGGAAATAATCAAATTGAGGGCTGAAATCAATAAAAAGAAATGGAACAATTAAAAAAAAATCAATGAGCCGGGCATTGTTGGCGCACGCCTTTAATCCCAGGACTCGGGAGGCAGAGGCAGGCGGATCTCTGTGAGTTCGAGGCCACCCTCGTCTACCGAGCGAGTTCCAGGACAGCCTCCAAAACAATGCAGAGAAACCCTGTCTCGAAAGAACCAAAAAAAAAAAAAAAATCAATGAAACAAAGATTTGGTTTTTTGAAGAAACCAAAAAGATAGACAAACCTTTAAAAAAACTGTATTCCACAAAATTGTTAAATCTAAAAGAATACATTTTCTAGATAAGTACCACATACCAAAATTAAATCAAGAGCAGATATGCAATTTAAATACACCTATAACTCCTGAGGAAATAGAAGCAATCATTAAAAGTCTTTAAAAAACAAACAAAACAAAACAAGCCCATGGCCAGAGGGTTTCAGTGCAGAATTCTACCAGAATTTCACAGAGAAGCTAATATAATACTCCTCAAACTGTTTCACAGAATTCAAACTAGAGGAACATTACCAAACTCTTTTAATGAGGTTACAGTTACCTTGATACCCAAACCTAAAAAATATACAAGGAAGAAAGAGAATTACAGACCAATCTCCCTCATGAACATTGATGAAAAACCACTCAATAAAATACTGGCAAACCTGATGTAACGGGGTTCTGATGGTTTAACAAGGGAGGAGGGACATACTTCTAGCTCCTGGGTAGATTTCTTCATGCCCTTTGGAATGCCATTGCCAAAATGAGGATGGAAACTCATCCACCAGTTTCCTTTCCTCTTTCTTGTTGCACCTGATGTTAGGATCCAGAACTTTTCTTTTTTCTGCTGAGTTGTGCCTTTCCTTCTGGGATTGTTAAGTGAACCCTGTGGTAAAATGTTTGCAAGTTAGCCTATTCAGCTGTTTACACTGTGAAAGTGGATATTGTTACAGAGAACACACCAGCTGTGGTTTTCTCACTCCCTGTGAATGAATGTGTGAAATAATCTGTAGTTTTACCTGCTGATACTGTCTATCTGAAAATCTGAATTTATTCCCCCCACCTCCCCTCAACCAAAAATACTGGCAAACCAAAATCAAGAACGCATCAAAAAAAGCCATCCACCATGATCAAGTAGGATTCATCCCACATATGCAGGGTGGTTTCAACATATGAAAAACTGTCAAATTAATCCACCATATAAAGAAACCGAAAAAAAGAAAAAAAACATTCTGGGCGTTGGTGGCGCACGCCTTTAATCCCAGCACTTGGGAGGCAGAGGC